CACAAAAAAAGAAAACCAGTTTGCCACACCGCGCGCTTCTTCGTTGTGCGCAGACGTGTCCTGTGATCGGCACCTCTCCCTACCCACGGAACCTCCACGGTACCTCCACAGAACCTCCACAGGAGGTCTGATCGCTTAACTGCATGTTAGTTTGCCCCAGGGCAAACAGCCACGCTTTCCCCCCGCAGTTTCCTGCCCGTGTTACCGGGACCTATGATTTCTTTATACAATTAACTGTATAAATGGGTTTTAATTTTTTCTGAACCAACTATTTCATTTTTCTCACAACAACCACTGTTCCCTGGTTTTGTCTGGTCTTGGGCAGCATATGTCCCTTTGAGCCCCCATCAGCTCCTACATTGGTGCCATTTTCTTTCTGAAAAAACATGCCGCCCTTTCTAGGAACCATGACATGATCAGATGGCCAGTGAGGTCTGGCTCCACAGTGATGTCACTGACAAAGCTAAAACCAGAGTGCCTTTGCTTCTTCTGCCCTCAGTCACATCACTGTGGAGCCAAACCCCATTGGCTATGTGGTAACAACACCTTCACACAACAAAGGAGATGAATTTTGAAAAAGAAAAGGGTGCTACTGTTGCCCCTATTTGGAGCGGTGGAAATCAGTATGACAGTGAAAGGCATGGAAATGAGAGTTGGCAAACCACCTGCTGGTGAAAAGCCTGGGCCACACCCAAGCTGCTCACAACCGATGTTTCAGCATATTAACATTAAATAATCTACAGTCATTTCTCTGGGGCACAGCAGTAAACGTTAGCCTACACTAAGGAAAAAATGTTTTCAAAAGACTGTTTTACTTTTAGTAGATAAGAAGAGGAGGAGGAGGAGGAGGAAGAGGAGATTGGATTTATACATTTTTAAATCACCTAATTCTTTTGCACTGATATCCTCAAATTAATACAGAAAGGGGGGGAATTCTACTATGCAGGTATTGACACTGGAAGCGTAATTTTTAATGTACATAATTCCCCACACTCTGAACACAAAACCAAACCAATCAATTTCCTGCGAATTGCTTCCTGGTGCCCTGTCCAAGGCTGACCTTCGCAGGCAAAGTCTAAACCTGGAAATGGTTTTGTAAGTGTTGATATGATTGTTTATGATCATTATATCACCAACTTGGCTTGGGGTCCAACTCCATCCTGCTTTCATAACTAAGGTGAGTAGATGGTAATCTGAGGCACAACAAGCGTGTGCTTGCGCCCAAGAATGTGGATGGCAGCAATTCAAAGAGGGAAATCACTGCATCAGAGATAATGTCTTGGCGTTGTGGACAGCGGATCTGATTCTCAAGCGGCCTCGGTTGGCATAACGGTTGAGTTACACAGGCCATTTCCACACAGGTACTTTGCCCCGAGGGGATCGTTGGCATTGGGAAGGATTCTTTCCCCCCTGCTTCCTCACAGAATTATGAAGCATTTGTGCACTTCCCTCAGTTTCCCTGATCTTTCCCAAATGTGCTTTGCTGCAGAGCTTTGAGAAAGATCACAGCAAAACCTAGATGTTTGCCATGTGAGGGGGATAGTTCAGATTTTCCTGGTCCTCCTGACACAGCAGCCATTCCCCCCCACAATGGCCATTTCCTCCCCAATCAGTTTGGGGGTTTTTTTGAGTAGTGGTTAAGAGCGTGGACTCTAATCTGGGAGAACTGGGTTTGATTCCCCACTCCCCCACATGCAGCTGCTGGTGTGACCTTGGGTCAGTCACAAGTTATCTCAGAGCTGTTCTCTCAAGACCAGATACCTGAGAGCTCTCTCAGCCCCACCTACCTCACAGGGTGTCTCTTGTGGGGAGAAGAAGGAAAAGGAGATCATAAGCTACTATGAGACTGAGTGAAGAGTGGGGTATGAATCCAATCTCTTCTTTTTTTAAAAATCAGAAACTGAATATTTATTAATTTATATTTATTTAATTCATTTGTACTCTGCCTTTCTTCCCAATGGGGACTCAAAGCAACTTACATTGTTCTCATCTCCTCCATTTTATTTTCACAACAACCCTGTGAGGCAGGTTAGGATGAAAGACATTGACTGGCCCAAAGTCACCCAGCAAGCTTCCATGGCATGAGTGGGGATTCATACTCAGGTAGCCTTCCAGATACCAGTCCAACACTCTTAACCACTATACCACACTGTTTCTCTGTAGGGTAACATTAGGTTTTTTGAGTTCCCAACTTTCTTTTTTCAAAACAGTATGCCTCTAGATCTGTAAGTGTAAAAATGCGTCACCGGTGACCAGGATCAAGATAATTCATACCGTATTATTCCCTATTACTATGTATGGGTGTGAAAGCTGGACAATGAAGAAAGCTGACAGGAAGAAAGTTGATTCCACTGAAATGTGCTGTTGGAGCAGAGTTTTATGAATACTGTGGACCACCAGAAAGAAAAACCAGTGGGTTCTAGATCAAATCAGACCCAAACTCTCCCTAGAAGCTAAAATAACTAAACTGAGGCTATTGTACTTTGGTCATGTAATGGAAAAGACAATTATGCTAGGAAAAGTTGAAGGCAGCAGGAACAGGGGAAGAAGACCCAACATGAGATGGATGGACTCAGTCAGGGAAGCCATGGCCCTCAGTTTGCAAGATCTGAGCAAGGCTGTTAATAATAGGATGGTTTGGAAGTCATTAACTGTAAATGGGTCACTGTAAATTGTAAGCAACTTGATGGCACATAATGTATACAAGTCTCTAGCCCCCTTCATTGCAGAGACATGCCTTTCCTCTTACATCGCTACGAAAAAAGGTGTTTGAGATTATTTTTTAAAATGAGAGCTGCAAATTTAACAGAAAAAGAAGCAAGCAGGTAAGGTGTGCAGATTTTTTTTTTTGTCTAGTGGCAAACTTCCCAGCAGGTTCCCTCCTACTGAGCACTCATCCAAGCTGGGGTTGTGGTTGGAAGGCTGAACTAGAACCTGGAAGTCCCAGGTTCAGCCCCTTTCAGTTCACTGGATGATCTTGGTTCTTCACTCTGATCTACCCCACAAGGTTGTTGAGAGCGAGAACCCCAACACAGCTCCCAAGGTGCCAAGGCATGTCCATATGTGCGTATGCTGGGAGTGTTGGCACTTGTTTTTTTGGAATCTTGAGGACAAAATCCAAAGACTCATGCATGGAACAGGAAAAATTTAAAAAGGAGCTTTAAGTCAATCCCTACCCACTGGCTGACAAGCAAAGCCCTCGGCTCATCCTGGTCAGAGCTGTCATGGATGCTCATCCTTTTCCCCAACAGGGTGCCCATGGGTGCCACAGCAGTTGCTAACACCTTTTCTGGTGCCGGACAAATCTTTTTAGAAAGTGGGTGGGACCAGGTACGGCTTTTCCCAGCAAGGCTTCTGACTCAGCATTGGAGATTAGATTGGCTCTGCAGGTTTTTAAATATGTTGCTTTGGCAGCAGCTGCCCCACTACAAGGATCTTCACTGTGTGATTGAAAGTAAGCTGCAGCAGCCATTTTGTGGCTGGCCCCACCTCTTCAAGCAGCCATTTTGTGACTGTATCAGAATTCCTAAGGTGCCTACAGGCTCAGAAAGGTTGGGGACCCCTAACCTAGACTTTCCCTTCACTAGGGGCTTGCAAACTCTCCTCGTGGAAACATGAGAAGCAAACACTCATCTTTTAAAATGAAACCAAACCACATTTCTTCCTTAAAGCAGAGTTGACCTGCCCCAGCAGCCATTTTGTGATTGATCCCAACCTCTGTCACTGTCCTTTTGTGGTGTGCTTTCTCAATATTCTTTCAAAATATCCTTTTCTTTCAATATTCCGCAGGTTCCACAAGGTTGGGGATCACTGCCCAGAGGAAACAAGATGAATTTCCTCTAGGACCCCAAATGAATTGAATGCAGTTGGATTGTGTTCGATAAATGGTTCATTTATCTTAGACGAGCAGCTAAATGTAACCAAACAATTCTCACAGAATTTCAAGCTGTGCTAACAAAATTATGTTGGGACACAAGACTACTGAATAAAGGCAGAAATGTCTCATATGAAAAAGAATTCTCTTTTATTACAAAAGTCTTCCGTTTCAAGAACACAAATCAAATTGCACCTCATGTACAACTCTTTTAAGTTTTCCAAAGCACACATTTAAAAAAGAATCTAAATATAAAAATGTAAAAAAAAGAAACATTTATATAACATTTTAAAAGTGGAAGGAATAGGGGGAGGGGACACTGGTAAACTATACAACTCATATTTTACAGCGTGCCATACTGCCAGAGAGGAATTCTGCACAACTTATACAGTGCAACACACCAGCCAGATATCTGGCCCAGGGTGGTGCTTTACAACCTCGTTTCCAGATAAGGGCTTATGCACAGATCAGCTACCACATAAGAGTTGCGAGCTATATTACACTCTGAAGTTACAAAATGTGCAGCCCCAGCTGTAATGATTTAGTAATCCCCTGGACTGACAACATAGAGGCAACGAAATATATTGAGCAGGGATTTAGACCCTTCCAATTCTGTGATTCTATGATGTGTGTTTGCAAAAAGCCCACAAACACACAGAGTGTAATTCAGCCCTGTTGCAGCTATGGCACCTAAGTATTCTCATAGGCTCAGTGTCTATGTGCAACCCACCCAATGCTTTGCTTAGGTGCAGTCAAGTTACTAGTCCCCATGAGCCATCAGGCAAAGACAGCTGAATGGGGATTTGGAAGGCGTGCACAGGCCCGCCACTCCCCACAAGGGCCATTTGTGCTGTCTGTATACACATGGGAGGTAGTGGGGGCAGGACCCTAATGAGCTTGTGGGAATGTTGCTATTTTCCTCCCCTCCATAATAATCAAAACTGCAACTCTCTTGGAAGGCGTCTTTTAATCAACTTAAAAGAAGAAGAAAAAGACAAACCAAAAGCAGCAACTGGCCCTGCAGCCAATTAAAATCCTCACTGGATATAAAAAATGTTAAGAATTTTAGAAGAAACAAGATTCTCTTTCCACATTCTCATCCCTGATCTGACAATGTCATGGGGCATTCATTCCTGGGAAGGTGACACCCCCCCCAATAACTCAACAGACCAGTGGATTTTGTGTCGGCAGCTGAACAGTAAAGGATTTCTGTCAGGCTGGAAGAGATCCCCGAGCAGTCTTTCAACCTCTGCCATTCTTCCATTTCATCCTTCTAAAAGCACAGACAAGTGGGGCTCTATCTCAGGTTTCACTTTAGCGCTCCAAGAATCGCTCAGGTGAGCTATCAGCCGTCTGACGGATTTGCCCCCTAAGCAAGGGCAGAATGAATTCTGGCTGGTCCTGTCATTGGCACACTGCCTGTAGGCTGCCATTTCCTCAATGAGGCGGCAGGACTTGGAACTCCAGGCATTCACGGGTGTTGTCTTCAGAAAATAAGCAGCCGGCGAACATTCTACTGTTTCCTTTTAACTGTATCTGAGGAAAAAGGGGAGAGTATGCTTTACTCTATGGTTCTGAAAAGGCCAAGTGACGCAAACTCCACTCACAGACTGAGATATCTGTTCCACTATAACGGTTACTGACTCATACTGCAAGGCTGTGCATATTCAAGTAATAGAATCCTGTATTCCAACCATCCAGCCTGCACTGAAGATCTCTGACAAGTGTGAGGAAGAAACTTTGCCAGTCATATTTGAGAAGGAAACGGCTCAACAGTTGAGTGGGCCTCTTGCTCAGTCAAGAACCCCACACAGGAAATGTATTATGGCCCAGATAATTTACATAGGGTTGGATTCAGCGACTCCCTTTTTGCTTTCTCTACCAAGAGAATTCTTACTGGAAAGAAGTCATCAGAATCAGAAAGGAGTTATAGAAATGTCTTCAGATCCTTCTAAAATTCATTAGAAATGGCTGGTTTCTTTCAAGATGCAAAAAACAGACAAGAAAGACCCTATTCCAGTAGTCTTAGAATTTTACTGACTACCATAAGGAATAGACATGGCCACCAATGGGCAAGCTACCACAGAAGCAGACAGAAGTGGCCAAAAAATTGTCTCCCATTGCACCAATGCCTCCTGGAAAGCATGTCCAACCTTCCCAGAGGTGTTCTTTAGGCAGGTCTATGATGCTCAAGATCGGCCACACCTTCAGCATTATAAACAGGACCAAAGGAAAACATCACCTAGGCCCCGGTCACACAGGCTGGAAAACGCGGGGGGGGGGGGGGGGGGATGGCTATTTGCGGCGCCGCAATTAGCTGCGCGATAATGTGATCAGACGCGTCGGCAGCAACCCACGGTTCTGGCCCTTGGCGTGTGTGCGGCAACAAAGACGGATGGAGGGGAAAGCCGTGATGGCGCGATCACACCAGGGAGTCTGGAGGCAGCCTGTGGCAAACAGTTTGCTACTACCTTCGAGGAGGTATTTTTTAATCGCACATTTTCGGCGGCATGCCACGGGTTGGCCACGGCTGCGCTCCACTTGCCAAATGTTGTGATGTGATCGCACCCGGAAAATCTGCCATCCAATCGTGGCTCTCCCGCAGCAAATTCGCTGTGTGAACGGGGCCCTAGTTTGACTGTTCTCTGGGACTGGCTTGACTACAAAATTCCCTACGGAACTTGTTCTCTTTACCTGATCGTATTCTGAACGCAACAGGGATTTCACGGTTGGGGATCAGGAGTCCTGAGTGCAGGGTTTCTACTGGCTTGTCATCAGTTGCAATAACCTGGTACTTCCGTACAACCTGTGGGAGAATGAGAAAAGAGTTGAGTCTCTGGAACTTGCCCAGGGCAAGGCTTCCTAGGAACCAATTATTTTCAGCCTATGCAGCTGGGCAGAGGTTTCTTTCTGTCAAGTTGTAGCCAAATTATGGTAACTGCGTAGGGTTTTCAAAGCCATTAATCAAGCTGATCCAAATTTTAACAGGAAAGCCACCTGCAATAATGATCCTGAGGCCCTTGTTAATGCATAAAAGGAAGACTGGGAGCCTACTGGACAAGAGTGGAGTCAGCAAAAATCACTCCCCCTGCCTTCTCTGGCCTTCCACTTCATCCTCTGTCCTCAGAGGGATACAAGCCATTAAAAAAAATAGGTCTGCTTTAACAGAATTTTGTCAGAAAATGAGGACTATTCAGGGATTAGGAAAATTCCCTTTTCCTCGTTACACAAGACGATGGAAATTCAAAGAGCGATTAACACATGGAATTCACTGCCACAGGAGGTGGTGGCGGCTACAAGCATGGACGGCTTCAAAAGGGAATTAGATAAGCATCTGGAGCAGAGGTCCATCAGTGGCTATTAGCCACAAGGTATAGCTAGGGGCTCTGGGGCAAGTGATGCTCTGTCTTCTTGGTGCTTGGGGGGGGGGTCAACGGTGGGAGGGCTTCTAATGTCCTGGCCCCACTGGTGGACCTCCTGATGGCACCTGGTATTTCTGGCCACTGTGTGATACAGAGTGTTGGACTGGATGGGCCTTTGGCCTGATCCAACATTGGCAGTTCTTATGTTCTTAAAGCAAAAAAGGCATACTTCCCCTTCTCAATTGGGATTTTTATTAAATAAAGACCACAGGGGAAATGGCATAATTGAAAGCTTACCCAACAGAGAGCCAAGTGAAGCTGCAGCTCGGCCAAGCGGCGTCCGATGCACATCCGCTTCCCGATGCCAAAAGGAATGTGAGTGAAAGGGTTTATGTTCTTCTGCAGCCAGCGTTCCGGCTTGAACTGAGTCCAGTCGCTGAAGTTTTCTTCACTGCATCCCAGGATGTGGCTATTTAGCATCAACACTGTCTGCAGAGACAAAAAACGTAGGGGTGGGGATAGTAAGTTCTGTTTTCACTAAAGAAAAAGGGTGTTGTGCGAGTCAAAGGAAATGGTTTTCTCCACTGACACCATGATACTGCATTGAAGTTCACTGTGGGCCAAAGTGTATATATCATCTATCATGAGATCCCCACAGGGACGTGCAGCCATTTGACAGCTGTAAGCTTATTGTGGGAATTCAATTCAGAAAGTATTGCAGAGGCCCATTTCGGATTGGGACTGTGAGGTGGGGAGAGGAAGGGGCTGTAGCATTCTCCCTGCACTGATTGTTCTGACCAGAAATGGCCGTGGGGCAGGTTATTTGCCTGGGGAGCAAGGGTGAATGTGCAAACTTTCAGTGCGCATACAACGCCCCCCACCCCGGGGTAAATAATGCCCCTGGAGCTGTTTCAGGTTGGGAAGACATCACAGGGTAGCCCGGAGCACCTCCCCCCATGCCATGGTTCCGATCCAAACTGGGCCCCTGAGATGGCTCTGAATTTAGTTCCCATTGGGAACTCTCACCTGACCTATGGCTGCATACCCCCATGGTGATCACACCGTAGATGTGATGTATAGTTGGGACCTAAGCTTCATATGCAAGCAAAAATACTGGAGAATGTGTCTGGGATTTCATTCCATGTTTTTGCTTTTTTAAAAGGAAGTTACCTGCATCTACTTTCACAGTGAAAGGGCCACTGAAACACAAAATATTCCTTGCCTGCAAACTTTCAGCCTTTAAATGCTTTAAAGTTCCAAAGTTGCAACAGAGGTCAATATTTTGACCCCGGGGCATGTCAGACCTTAGCTAGCAAACTACTTTCAATGTGGGAACTGGATAAGCATATGGAGCAGAGGTCCATCAGTGGCTATTAGCCACAAGGTATAGATAGGAACTCACAGGCTGGGGCAGGTGATGCACTGTATTCTTGGTGCTTGGGGGGGGGGGCAACAGTGGGAGAGCTTCTAGTGTCCTGGCCCCACTGGTGGACCTCCTGATGGCACCTGGTATTTTTGGCCACTGTGTGACACAGAGTGTTGGACTACATGGGCCATTGGCCTGATCCAACCTTGGCTTCTCTTATGTTCTTATACAACTACTGAAGCCTCAAAAATCATGCTGGGATCCTTGTCATTTCAGAAACTGTCAAACTTACCCACCCTGTAAAGCGATATGAATACCAAATCGACTCTCAGACTTGTCAGTTTGTTGCAACGATGGCCATTGCAACCCTGCATACAGTTTGCAGCCCTCACATCCCACTGGATGAAGCATGCTCTACTGGGTGCTCGACTGCAAATGTGCTGCAAATGTGATGGGAATCATCGGAGCAGGCAGGCCAAGTGGCTTGCTGCAATTAGGAGTGGTGTCAAGCAGCAACTCCAAAGCTGTGCTGGGCCACATGGCTCAGCCCACTGTGCTACCAAAAAGCAGCTCAAAGTATGGAAAACAATAAAATACACAAGCACAATCATCCCACATCCACTCAAACCGCATTCTTCCTAGATTCACATAAAGGACCTACCCACTTACTAGGAAAGAAGACCATTTAGGGACGGGGCTGTGTGCACTGGGTATACATAGTTGCTTTGGGTAGCAGAAATAAATACTCACCCCTTTAGGAAGTGCATAGTCTCCAAGGACTGTTTCTTTGTCAAGGGTCCGAGTGGTAAATGGCACAGAGGGGGTCAGCCTAGAGCAAAATAAATAGAGTCTCTTTACTATTTTACCTGTTTCACACCAATCGTACAAGATACTTCTAACACAGGTATATGACAGCAGGGAGGTCCTCAGTTCAAACCGAGTTGGCTTTGGAAACCTAGAGAAGAGTGGCTTGCCTTTCTGCAACACAGGGTTAAATCTGGTGTATCATAGGGTGTAATAATAACAATTAATAATAATTATTATTGTATGGCATTGTGTAGAATAGCCAGGAGTTCTAGCTCTTTTAGCATTATGCACCACTAGTCAACGAACTAGACTTTGTTTTTAAGGCAAGTGACGTTTCAGAGGTGGTTTGCCATTGCCTGTTTCTGCAACCCTGGTATTCCTTGGAGGTTGCCCTTCCAAATACTAGCCAAGGCCTACCACACTTAGCTTCCAAGATCTGACGGGATCGGGCTAGCCTCAGCTATCCAGCTCACAGGGTGTTACGATACTGCATGGAAAGTGCATTGAGCATTTTGAGACTTATGAAAACCTGCATGGCGAGGTACTGACTATAAACAACAAAACAGCACTGTAATCTATTCCATATTATCATACATATTATGTATGTATTATCCTGCACTTATTGTGCTGTATTCTACTTTTGTAATTCCATTTCCTGTATCATGTCTCATACCTTTTTATTTATGTATGTATGTGTGTTTTATACTGTGTGATCACCCTTGAGTCTCAGTGAGAAAGGTTATCTATAAAGTCAATAATATACCCTAATCAATGGCTACTAGCCATGCAATGTTCCCTCTAAGCTGTGGAGTCTTGTGAGCAAAAATTCTACTTTGTGAGCTACTGGCATTGAAGTTATGAGTGAGTGATTTGGCTACTGCATAAATTAGTTTGCTCTGGAGCCATCCTTCCTGAGCTAAGAGAAAAATGTGTGAGCCGGAAGCTAAAAAACTGTGAGCTAACTCACACTAACTCAGCTTAGAGGGAACACTGGCCACGAGGGCCAAATGGAACCCTCGTAACAATAGGCACTGTGCCTCAGTCTAACAAGTGGTCAGAACAAGCAACAGACGAGATTTATTTGCTAATGTCTTCTGCCAAAGAGCTCAGGGTGGTGTACATAGTTCTTCATTTTATTCTCACAGCTACCCTGTGAAGTAAGGAAACCTGAGTGCGCGCTCCAGTTTTACCTACCATGCTCCATGACAGCACAGGCATTTCAACGTGGGGTTCCCTGGGCCTAGCTGGACAACTTAATCGCCAGACTGACTGTTTTTTCATGCTGAGTTTTTTCTGAACAACCAGTTGCTATGGGTCCATTCAAAAGCTACCAAAGTGGCAAAAACAAAACAAAACATTTCTTTTTATGCCAAAAACTCTACACAGAACATTTTACCTCATAGATTCCTTCAGGCAGGCCTTTAAATATGACATTTTCTTCAGGTGTTCAGCGCTTGGGCTCTCTCCGGGACCAAGTACACTCTGTATTTCCTCAAGCAGTTTCTCCTGGACGTGCGGGTTGCGCGAGATGTTGTAGAGAGCCCAGAGCAAACTGTTGGCAGTCTGAAACGTGAGCAGAGAAATACAGCACCTCAGATCCTGGCAGGCTCAGTCATTAACATGATGAATTCACGGGAAAACATTCAAAATATGTATATTTTTTCCCACAGTGGGCTCTGGCTCACAACAGCGTATACCACAATAAACTTATTAGTGACAACAATTCTTTTGCCACAAGACTCTCTTCTTATTTTGGCAGTGGCAGACTAACAGCACTATGCCTCACGAATATACTTGCAGCTGTCTGCTTTCTATTATAAGAAATGTATATATGTATTATATACATATTATATACATATATTATATGTCTGCTTTATATTATAAGAGAGCCAGTTTGGTGCAGTGGTTAAGTGCGCGGACTCTAATCTGGGAGAACCGGGTTTGATTCCCCACTCCTCCACTTGCACCTGCTGATGTGACCGTGGGTCAGTCACAAGCTCTGGCACAGCTGTCCTTGAAAAAGAGCAGTTTGTATAAGAGT